ATTCTGTTAGGCTGTAAGGAATTTTATGGTCAAGATGAGATATATATCTTCCTATTTCTACCTTAACTTAGTCGATAAGATACAAAAAAGCGAAAATATAGGACGCGCAAAATCGCGTAGCATACTTCGCGTGAAAATGGAACCGCATGACGCCTAGTTCTAATTACGTAATTGAAACCTTAGCGGGAGCAAAATGCTTAGCAACCGACCACCGAGACTTTAATATGGAATTAATAAAGGGAACGGCACATCGCTGGCTGGAGTCGTATCTACCAAATAGGACCCAGTGCTGTTGTGTGAATGGCAAACTATCAAGTCCATCAATTATAAAAACAGGCATACCTCAGGGTTCTGGTTTATTATTAACAACTTTATTGGCATGACCTGTACAGGTATTGCTAAAGTATTAAGTATAGAAGTGCTATTAAGAGCACTGACTATCCTATTATAACAAGAACAAATGTTATGACTACGGTGTAGTTCATATTAAAGTTTCTCAAAAATATATAATATATAGTATAAACAAAAGAGTATATATGTTATAGTAATTAAGGGGTGTCCCCAGATTTAAGGCATCTGTCTCTAAGGCAGAAACATTTTGAAATAAAGCTAGAAAATAGCTCAATTATAACTAAATCATCGCATGACATCACATGCGTCAATAAGTTTTGTTTTGAATCCGTTGTAATGTTCATCTGAAAAATATTTTTTAATATATTGTTTGCATTGTTCCTAATGCTACTATAACTTGGACACTCGAATGCAAAGTGAAATTCGTCTTCAACCGCACCAGTGCCGCAGGTTTTACAATGTCTTTCATCACGAGGTATATTTTGGTAACGGCCATATTCGATCAATAATTTGTGATTACTAATTCGGAATTTTGTGAACATCCGTCTCTGGGATGGATTTTTTATGGTAGTTAGATATTGTTCCAATTCATATTTTTTTTTAAATTTACAGTAAAATGATAGTTTTGTGGAATTGGTTATTTGTTGGTTCCAATGTAAAATATAGTTGTTTTTTATGTTGTCTAGTATTAAATTTATTTTCTCAATTTCGATAAAATTCCCTAAATCTATTGGTTCCTCAAGTGTGGGATAATGGGCTTTAAGTGTTTTAACAATGTTAGAGTAAAACGATTTTTTGCCGTTCATGTATAGTTCTTTCGAGCTGTGGAAAGCTTGTTTTACTATAGACGAATCTGGTTGCTGGCATATAGATTTAATATAGTTTAGTATCCTTTTGAGCATCGGAAACAACAAAGGGAATCTACCTAATTCTCCTCTACTTGCAAAATTACTGGCTTTTCTGTTTACGCCTAGATAGAGTTTGCAGTACTTCAGGTGGGTTTTTTCTGTAGACGATTTATCCCATTTGGTAAAATCATTGTCGGTGTAAGCCCCCCATACCTCTGAGTTGTATAATAATATGGGTGAGATCACACCGTCGAAAATTTTACCAGCTATTTCTGGGGGTAGGAAGTGAAAATCGATGTGTTTGCGTATTTTATATAGGGCATGCATTGCTTTTTCACTAAGCTGTTGGTTTGCAACAGTAAATTTTGTATTAGGTGTTAATTTTAAACCGAGATAGGTATATTCATTAGTAATAGTAATCGGATTATTTCCTATGAAAAAGTTCGCGTTTGTTAGTTTGGATTTATGTTTTTGTAAAATCATTACTTTCGTTTTCTTAAGGTTTACCTCCATGAGCCACTTTTTACTCCAACTATAAAGTGTGTTTAGGCTGTTTTGGAGACCAGATTGTGATTTTGACAGAATTACCAGGTCATCTGCATAGAGAAGACTGCTTATGGTAGTACCATTTGATAATATAAATGGATCAGAATTTGTTTTTTCTAATAATTCTGGCAATTCATTAATATAGATATTAAATAAGAGGGGACTTAGAACACAACCTTGACGGTTTAGGCCCATTGTTATTTCTAATTTACATCAATGATTTACCAAAATGTTTAAACGCCGGGAAAAACCAGATATGTTTGCGGATGATACCCAAATTGCAACATCAAGTGACGATATCAAAGTAATCACTGAAACATTAAATAGAGATTTAAACAATGTTGCAAATTGGCTGTCCGCAAACAAATTAACTCTGAACAATAGTAAAACCGAATATATGATAATTGGTTCCAAGAAAAGGCTTAGTCAAGTGACTGCCGATCCTGCTATCAGTGTAGGTAACTTAGAAATTAAGAGAGTTGAAATGACAAAATCATTGGGCCTAATGA